TCATATTTGGAAAATAACAACAGGAAAAAAAAAAGGCTGTTTTTACATCAATAATGATTGCTAAATGCAAGCTTTAGTCTTTAGTCACTTGAAAGCATCTCCCTCCTACATACCATATAACAAATGAACAGGCAGCTTTGATACAGAGTCAGCCTGCACTCACAGGTGAATAGACATGTGTAGCAGCACACACTGAGGATTTTATCCAGCGACAAAGAAGAGCGGCCTCACGTTGTTAGCAGTCAAACAGAGGAAACTGAGGATAATCATACAAAATGTAAAAGCCAGACTCAGTAAAACACATATTCATGATTTCTCTTATGCATGGAACCTGGACAAGGGGGTCAAAGATCCAGATTAAGGACTAATAGGGAGGTAGAAGATCAGGAGCAGGGGTAGGGGAGAGAAAAGGATGCTGATTAAAATGCATATACAATTAAAGTATATTATATGTGTGTGCTGAATTATTTCTATGAAACCCATTATTTTGTGCAATTAATGATGTTGATTTTTAAACAAAGAGGCGTCATACCAGAGGCAGGTCCCACCTGTGGCATGTTGGTCATGTGCACCCAAAGACAGTTATGAACGCGAGCCAACACAAAATTGTACACTGACTTAAAATGTTATAAGATTTATTAGTGTAACTTATGTCTTAGTTTGCTTATTTGTTTTGTGGATATCAGAGTTCATGAGCATGAACCAGATAGACAAAAACAGTATGTGACAATACCAAAATTGTTAGACTTCCTGGTGGAAGAAATAGAAGCATTTAAAAAGCCCATGGCACTACAAATATATCTGCTAATTTCCTAGCGTAGATTAAGAATATAAACCTTGACAAAGATGTAAATAATTATGTACTATGCAGTTCCAACAATGCTGTCAAAGACAGATAATTCCAACTAGTATTTCATTTTTTTTTTTTTTAGAGTGGCTAGAACAAAGTATCATAAGCTCTGGTTAGGGGACACTTAGAACCAACAGAAATATAATTCTTACCATTCTGGAGGCGAAAACTCTGAGATCAAGACACCAGCAGATCTATAGCTGGTAAGGATCCATTTCCCACCTAACGAATACACCTTATGGGCCTACATGGTAGAGCTGAGAATCCTCTCAGACTAATGCAGTAAAAGCACTAATCCCATTTACCAGTTTCTGCCTTCATGATTTAACCAGTTCTAAGGGTCCTATCCCCTTACTCCGGCACAGTGGTGACTGCTATCAGCACACAAATTCAGGGGACACAAACACTGACAACAAACCAGGAAAAGAAATGATGGGAGAAACCAGCTAGGCATGCATAAAAAAACTTTGGGGTTTCCATCATACAAGCAGTTTATGTTAAGGAGATAATAAAATAAGCACTGAAAGGCATCAGTTTAGTTCATTTGTTTGATGCCGTGATCCATAACGAAAAACGTGGGAAACTCTTGCCTAGTCTAGAAGGCACTAGTGACATGCACTGTATTGAACATGCATGAAGAAGCATCTTCATCTTCTCAAAAATTCAGCAAATGTATACAGTCTGGGACTTAAAGGCATCGACCACTTAAGTAAATTATAAAAAGGAGATATTAATCATAATGTAATACCAATTAGGGAAACTATGCTTATAATGGTACTAAAATATCCAAAAGGACACTTATAGAATTGTTTAGCAATGTAACTAGGCGGGATTCTAACGATTGTCAGAGTTATCATTTCAGCATCATCATTACACTCCTCTGCATCATTATCATCATCATTTGGGCAATTGCACCATGCATCAGACACTTAACTAGGCAATTTACAAATCAGACCTCATTAGGCCCCTATGACAACTGAGTTGGGTATCATTATGCAGACTTCAAACATTGAAGAAGGAAAGCACAGAGATGGAAGTTGGCCAGAGGCTCCACTAATGGGCTGTTGAGCTGGACTCGGGCTACTCCACCTGACCCAGAAGCTCCTGTGCCTCCAAAAACTGCTTCACTACAAAAGAAACGTTGCTCAGCCTAAGTATAGCCAGGCTATATATAGCTTGAGGGGGTAAAAGATACAGCGAAGGTCCTGAGAAAGAACCCTCAAAAATAGTTTCCTGTTGCTTATTGGTCACTGAGCTTTACTTTAAGTGTCTTATAATTAATAACATTTGAATATCATAGGACTATGTGAGAGGCACTCTTATTCATTCACTTTACAGAAAGGAAAACAAAAACTATTGATGGCCAAAGTAGAACTGTCTCAAGGTTACGCAGTTTCAGGATCGTAAGAGTTTAGCTACTCACACAGCTCTAAGGTACCACATGAATGGAACAAGTGAATTGTCAAGAGACATGATGACTTACAGGCAGAAACTTTTCAGCTTTCTGAGAGTTACAAATATTTCTGCCTCTTCCTCTACAGTTTCCATGGCCACTCAAAGAGCATGAGAAACCAGCCCTTTAGTAAATGCTGTTGAATGAACTGAACATCTTGGAAGGGTGTTGTGTTTCTTCCTAGGGAAATGTGAACAAACCTCTATTCATAGGCAACCAACAATAGACAAAAGCAACAACTCCACCAAAGTCCAACTTGGTAAACCAATCAGTTTACTGGGTGAGGGTCACTTACAGGAATGTGGTGAGGCATTACTTAGAGCAGTATTGATAACATGTCAGTCATTACTGAAAAGAGAACTCGTATTCTGTTAGCCTCTGTCTTTTTATTGGTGAATTGAGTCCATTGATGTTGAGTGATAGTAACGACCAATGATTGTTACTTCCTGTTATTTTGATGTTGGTGGCTGTAGGGTGTATGTGTGTGGTGTGTGTGTTCTGCCCTTCTTTCCGTTTTGCTGACATGAGATTATTTATTTCGTGTCTTTTCCTGGGGGTAGTTACCATCCTTGGGTTGGAGTTTTCCTTCTAGTGTCTTCTGTAGAGATGGATTCGTAGATAGATATTGTTTAAATTTGTTTTTGTCCTGGAATATCTTGTTTTCTTCATCTAAGATGATTCAGAGTTTTGCTGGGATAGCAGTCAGGGCTGGCATTTGATCTTTTTTCCATTTCTTTTGTGTGATGTTGGAGAGGGAGCTTGTGAATCCTGTCTTAAGTTTCAGCTTTCACAGGCTTCAGTGATTTACTTACTGAGTCTCATAGACTCATGTCTGAAGATAGTATGGAATACACATTAGTAAAGTTAAGTTACAGTAAGAGGATAAAGACCTTTGAAGGCAGCCAAAGTAATGTGGGTTTCATTGACAAACAGAGATATTCTCTGAGAAATTTTTAACAAAAGGATAATAAGCAGGTAGGCATTAGTCAACAACTTGTAAGACAAAATGAATACCATAACAGGGAATCAATTAAGAATTGGCTGATAGCACAGAGGAGTGAGCAGAAAATGAGACAGATCTCGAGAGAAGACTTGCTTAAAGCTCTCCTTGGATGGACTGCCAGTAGAGCATGGTAGTTTATTAAATATGGCTGCAAATTCCTTGACATCTCTTCTGGGAGAGGAGGTTTATGTCCTTCTTCTTAAACATGAGCAGGCTACATCTATTTTTGTTTCAACCAACAGAGGAAAGCAGAAAGACAAGTTGTGGCTTTCAAAGCTACATCCTAAAAGTTCAGGTAGCTTCCACCTGTCTAGGAACATGTTCAAGGAATGAGTATGCCAAAATCTTGCAAAAATTCCTTTCCTAGGGCAGATGCAAAGCAATGTCCACTCCCTCCTCCCAAGGTCCCAGTGGAAAACTGAGGCATGTATCTAGCACATTTCACTCTGGGGAATCAAATTTATTGGGCTTCTTTATACAGCTTATGGGTGGAGTTACTTACAAGGGTCTGGGCACCTCTCACTCAACTGGCCACATCTGAAAAGCCTTCCCCAGATGGAATGATGGCTTCTCTGTAGTCTTCTCCTGACTTTATATGATACATGCACACAGGCACACACAGCCTTGCCAGGAGGTAGGGAGTGTCTGAATACTCAAGAAAGAACTCAATGTCCTGGGTTATGCCTCCATGTCAGGTGTAAACCATTAACCAGCCTACCTTGGATGACCTTTGAAAGGCAAGCATAGCTGAACTCAAGATGGTGGATGCTTGGCTCAGAGAACAGTCATTCACAACAGACCCCTATCGTGGAAATAGCCACTATCATGGCTCAACCCAGCCACTCGACCCCGCCATCTCTGCCAAAGCACCAGAATTCATGAATTGAACATCCCTCCATCCTCCAAGCCAGCTCATTTGCTGATTCCACCCTTCAAGATCAATAGAAATAGAAACTTTGCCCAGCTGAGCCTTGCTTGAATTCCTGATGTAAAATATCACAAGCTGTATTTAAATTGCTTTAATTAAGCTTTGAGGGTAATTTGTTACATACAGAGTTTTCAGAGAACAGAACAATTTTGAGAATTCAAGAGAGCATTAATTATGCCAAAAAAGAAGCCTGATGACACAGGGTTCTCCAGCATATAAGGTTTTTGAGATCCTGTTCATTCTTATAACACCGATATTCAGCTCAGCAACAGCAAACCTTTATTGACTCAGTAAATCAGATCTGCTTCCTCTTTTTTCTTTCTAGAAATGTTTTATGTATGTGTGTGTACGAGAAGATAGACAGACAGACAGAGAGGTGGGCATGCGCCTGCCACAGTGCGCGTATGGAGGTCTGAGACCAATTCTGTGAAGTTGGCTCTCTCTTCCTACCTTTATAAAGTGGGGGGACACTGCAGGTGTATAGACAGGGAAGCAAACTGTGAAGAGATGAGAATGAAAACTCTGTTCAGATTGACTTTATCAGCCGGGATAAAGATTTCTAAACAGTCTGATGGCAGACAATTTATTCCCAGCAAATTTAAACACAGTATAGTTTGGGGAAAGGTTTCTTGGTGTAATACAATGGTACCCAAGGAAGCACAATCACATCAAAACTCAACCCAGGGCCTATGTCATTTCTTCCAAAAAGATGGGTTCTAGAGATCTTTAGCTCTTTAGAAATAGTCACCTAACCAATTCTGATTTTACCTCCCCTAGAGGCATTGCAGGTGTGGCTGCTCTGTCACATGAGCATCAGTAGGTGGCAGGGACCAGAGAGGCTACTTCTATGCTCACTGTTCTGAGCTATATACGCATGAATGATTAGTAGCGTAGCATTCCCTGTAAAAAAAAAAAAAAAAAAAAAAAAAGCAAGCCAGTGAGGACCCAGTCCAGTCAGAACAGGGAACTAGCCTGAGACAATCAGCAGGCTCTGGTGGGTTCCCAGGTCAGAGGGCAAGCAGGAGGCTAGAAGAACCCTGCCTGGGACCGTGGGGGGACAGGCACTCTTGTCAGGGGTGGGCCCAAGACAGATAACCTTTGCAATGGGCCACTCAGGTGGACAGGGCAACCGAGACGACCACCAGACTGGTGCCAGGGGACCCAGGCAGGAGACCAGCCTGAGATGGTCACCAGTTCAGGACCATGCAGGTCTGGGATAGCAGGCCATGCCTGAGATGACCCCTGCCCAGTGCCCTGATGTGTGAGTGGGGCATAGCACTCCTGAGACAACCCAGACACTCAGAGAGCCCTGGTACCACCAAGAGGAGCAAGTAAGTGGGGAAGAGAAAGCGACACAGAAGGATGTATGCATGAAGAGAGGCAGAACTGGAGACTCAAGGGTAGTGAGGAACAGCCTGATATGAGTAGCCAGTGATGTCACCTTGAACCATGGTGGAGTCCTGGCCTGTGCTGCCACCAGGGGCCATGTCTGGGCCCATGGCCCTGTTGCAGCAGGAGTCCATTCCCGCCAGAGCTAGGTGAACGTCCCTGGTCTAGGATGCTGCCTTGAGGCTTGTTGATGTCTGAGGACCATGCAGAACTGGCCCTACCACTCACCTGGGCATCCTAGGAGAGCTGGCCGTGAAAGCATGAAAGCAGGAGAGCTGAGCCCCACCCCTAGCTAGCTGCAGTACTCAAAAGAGTGGGCCCTGAACATTGCAGGAATTTCAGGCAAGCTGCCCCAAGGATAAGAGTATGGAAGAGTTCGCTCTACCACTTGTCTCCCAAGTGGTGATGTGGATAAGGAAGAGATAACCTCACCACCTCACCCCTTACTACCTGTGGCAGGTGGAAGTCCTGGGGTCACGAGAGCAGGAGAACTCTGGAGTGTTGATCCCTATGGGTCATGGGCATAAGAGAGCTGACCCTGCCTCTCATATACTGACAGTGACATAAATAAAGAGAGATGCTCTCCTCCCCTCCCGGGTACCTTGCCACCTATGGCAGGCAGGAGAGCTGGTCCCAGGGTCGTGAGAGTGGCAGAAATGGCCATGTCCCTCACCAGCTGCAGCACTCTGGAGAATGTTGAGGGTGGAGAGTTGCTAGTGAGCCTGCCCCAAGAACATGAGAGCAGGAGAGCCAGTGAGCTGACTAGCTCAGATACCTCTCAGGCCCAGATCCAAGGCTTTGAATTGGCCCACCCCAATATCTACTCCAATAGACTGCTGGAGGCATGAAGAAGCTAATTCTACAGATCTAAAACTACTGGATTTCCATGACACAGAGCAACAGCAGGATATCTGAAAGGAGTCCCAGTAAGATTCTAGTATTAATAGAGTAGCAGGAACCAGAGGCCTTATACAGACTAGTGACTCATTGCAATGAACGTTTGCAAGCAAAGAACTGTGAACAAAAAAGTATACTCTGAGACATACTGTGACACACTACATCTACCACAAAGACATTTTTTCTCTGTTGGTGGGAGAGGTTGCAAGGGTGGAGGGCAGGTTAAAAAAAAAATTCTTAAAAAAGAATGCTTTTAAATTTTACCAAAAAAATTTTTTTTCAGTTTGCCTGCTCACCAATTGCTGAACGTCATATATTTTTGAAACTGGTGCAAATCAGAAGGGCACAGGATCTGTAACAGTGCTATCTTTGGCTCTACGTTACACTCTATTAACTTGACTGTTAATAGACCCCAGACCTTCACTCTCAAGAATGCCCCTGTGTAGATGATGGAGTTGATTGTCACATGGGTGTGTATGCTCTAGGCAATGTGACAATCACCATTCCAAAGGAGAAACTTCCTTTGTAAAGAGTAAGGAGAAACATGTTGGCTGTGAAGAGGCTTAACTGTGTGTGCTCAGGCAAGTAAGTTTAATAATGAGCACATGGAAATCAGAGGCGTGAACACTGGCTCATTTGCAGTGTTTTGTTTGTGGACCATTCAAAATGGCTTGGTTCATTCCCACAAGTGCAAAAACTCCAGAAGAAAGTGAGCTGACTTCCCTAGCCTAAAGCTGATCTCTCATGCCCATCAGACAATTGAATCCATTGATTTATTTTTTAAACATATCTGTCCAGGAATTAAAGCAAATTAATAATGAGAGAAGTCCTGACACGAGAGCAGCATTTCCCCAACTTCAACATATTCATATTCATCAGATATTTCCTGAGCTACAACTATAGACTGGGCAGGGTCCTGGGCATTGAGAAGCCATCAGCACTCACATAGGTTACAAGTTTACAGTTACTAGAAAATAAGGGTAAAATAGACAAGAAAGATTTCTATGTGATAAATCCCAATGAATGTTTACATTGCTTTTAGGTTTACAAGAAAGAAAATGCATTTAGCATTCAGGTATAGATATGAACAAAGAGTTCCAAATTCTTTCTAACTAAAGCCATCCACCCTCTGGCCAACTGAACAAAAGTGGCCACCAAGTACCCCAGATCCCCCCAATATTATTCAGAGTCCTGCTCATATTCCTATTGGAGCCTCTAATTGTGTATTTCCCATCAGTGAACTTGATAGACATGCTCCATTGTAGTCACCTTACATTTCAAATTAAGAGCAGGCTAAATCAATATTTCACATATGAATGCCTGAAGCCAAAGCCACAGGGTTTTATTTAAATGTACATGTCATGATCCGTCACAGCGCTGTAAACAGAACGCCCGGTGCATTTCATTGGTAATGACTCTTCCCTGCTGAGAACATTTATTTCTATTTAATGCTAATCCACAGGTTCATTTCTACTCATAAGCCAGGGAACCTTGGTTGAGCTGTTATCTGAGGTTTGCCAAAAGGTTTGTCTCAAGATGCTTGTCCTCTTTAGCCCGTGGAGGTCTGAGAAGGGGCTCAGGCTGTAATTAGTGTGTCCCAAGACAATGATTCTAAAATCATACGTCTGTCACATAAAAATGATACGTTGTTTGAAGAAGAGGAATGATCCTTACTATAAACAGCTTAATAATGGAAAACCAAGATACTGCTCCCAGCAATCTAAATGAACTTGTAGCATCTTTACCCTTTCAGTTATCCAGTTTCCTAGCAGGGACCCGTGAGAAGGTGAGACACTCCCACCCTAAAACCTTCCCTCCTTTAGGCCACAACCCCAAGTAGAACATTACAGAGAAAAATGTAAAACCTGACTGTTTAGAATAGTCCAAAATAATCATCATGGTAAACGCTACCCAGAGAGCATGCCTCAGACTCCCCAGTCCAGCTCCTCTCGTGCTGTAAACCAACGGAGAACTTTTTCTCACGCTGAGTTTTCCATTAGTCACTGAGTGAAGGCTACGCCATCCTGCTTAGTGCTGAAGTGGGCTCCAGACTACATCTGGTCTTTATGGGTGATTTACCGGTGCTATCTGTCATAGAGTAGGCAAAACAGATGTATTTGCCATGTTTTCAAATTACAATGAAACTTCAAATTAGGTGAACTTCAAGGTCAAGGAAGCTGGAAACATCATCTCCTTAGTAAATGAAGTTAGGTAATCAAGACAAAACATTTTACATTCCATTGTTTTTTCCCTTCGGCAGAGTCCAAAAACAAGCTCTTTATTGGCTCTTTCGGAACTGAGTATTTTCTTCCTTAAGTAAGATTTTCAAGGGGCTTGGCAGACGGCTCAGTTCATAAACTGATAGCTTCATAAATACCTAAGATTTGAGTACAGACCATTATAACCACAAAACTCCAGGCACGGCAATGAGTGACTGTGACCCCAGTGCAGATGGGGGAGGGATGGGCAGCTTCCCGGTGCGTGCTGCCTGGAACTACACTTCCAGCCCCCCCCAAAAAAAATATTTTTAATAGGAAAACAACCTTAAAAGTTGATTTAAGTCTTTTATCATTTTCTAATTAAAAATCTGTCAGTCCAAAATAATATAATCCTATCATCCAGAACATTTAATTAAGCCACCAATTTATACAATGTAAATATAAATCAGGCAAGCGATTGGCTGAGCTGGCTGGATGCATTCGGGGCAGCAGGCTAGCTGGTTAGAAGGTCCCTGTTTTGCTCACCTTCTCCAGCTCTTTCTATCCTGTCGTAACTGTGGGCAGGGTGCATAGTTCTACCAAGCAAACATTTCTAAAGTGGGTTTTATAATTCTTCCTTGGCAGGTTGTGGCAAGGAAAATATCATCATCCTAACGAGCACATGTTCTTCCCCATGTATTTCTTAACTATCAGCTGCATTGTCACAGAATGGGGAAAAACCCTTCCTTTTAGTACATATTAGTCAGACTTCTCTGAAGAAACAGAAGTTACAGAATGAACATTTGTGTAAAGGATATTTGTAAGAATGGCTTAGAGGCTGTGATCCAGCTAGTCCAACAATGGCTGCATACAAACAGCGGTCCAGGAATACAATAGTTGTTCACAAGTCTCAACTGGTCTTCAATACACACACACACACACACACACACACACACACATATGTACATATATAGATACATAAATGTATACATTCTCGTCATCAGAATCAGGAAGAGGTAGGCTCTAATGACAGTGAAGGAATGGACTTGCTAGCAAGAGCAAGCAGAAGAAGAGAGGGCTTCCTGCTTTAATATCCTTTATATAGGCTGCCAGAAGAGGGTGTGGCCCAGATTAAAGGTGAATCTTCTCACCTGAAAAGATCTGAGCTAAAGGTGTGTCTTCCCACCTTAAAGATCCAGATCACTTCAAATGACTTAATTTAAAACAAAAGCAGAAATCCCTCCCAGCTGTGCCCAGTCATTTGCATTTTAGTTGATCCCAGATATAGTTGACCACCAAGAACGGCCATCACACCTCATTCGAAAGCCAAATAGAAAGATAATCAGTTTAAGTATATCAACTGTTTCACATTTGTTTCTACAACACATCTATCCTCTGAGAGCACAATGAATAC